CTTTGTCCTATTATGTAGAATTTAAGTCTAATTTCAAGTTAAACATTGTTTTCCACTATTTCTTTCAAAGAGGAACCTTGCAAGCTGTAGAGATAGTGAAATGGAAAATTGGAAACAGTGCCCCGTGCATTCCTGTGTGTGCTCAGTGTATCGATCGGCTGCCAGGTTTGTGTTGGAAGAACACACACCCTGGGGGAGGCCGAGCAGAAAGGGAGTGGTGCTTTGGGGAAAGAAAAAATCTACTAAAAGATTTATTACCTACCGTTCACTCCCAAGTTTGATTCTGACTGTTGCGTAACACTTTTTAATCCCTGGCTAAGTAAATACGCAGCCACTTAAGAAGGGGGGGAAAAACCAACAACTTCTTGCATGATGAATAAGAAAGTCTTTTGAACGATGCATAAACAGTTTTCTGGTTCTGCCAGAGCCCTCTGCCAATTAGTCAGAGTGCAGCTGATGAATCATGAGACACATTCTGTGAAACGTTCAAAAATTTGGACCCTGCTAAGTGTTCCTGAAAGCCGGCGAGACCCCCCACAGCTGCTAAACCAGTGGTTGCCAGTCAGTTGAGTTTCTGAGAGATGTATTTGCAATGGAGTGCTTTTTGGTGAATTTTAGTTTTCATTTGGGGTAAATTCAGGTTACCATTTATAATCTCAAATTAGATTGTTACAGCCCTCGCCTTTATACTAAATACACAGGGAGGTTGACTTTTGATAGCTTTGTGCAGAAAATGGCTTTCTGCTCTCTAATGAGGTGGCTTGAGGTAAATGGCACTTATAATTCTTCTTCTATAATACTCTGAAGATCCTTAGTCTTTTCTTAATGTTTCTTTTTTGATATACCAGACTAGAAGATCTTTTTTTTTAATTAGAGTTTAGATTCTGGGTCACAGGAAAGAACAACTAGATTCAAGCAGTGGCTTGCTAAGCTGCTACAGGCAGCCTAATGCAGCCTTAGGTTCGATATACGAAATGGCTGCATTTCCAAGTATCGTGATCTGACTCATTGCTGGTAAACTCCAGACAGTGGTTGAAAATAGTAGATATTTTTTGATAGCAAGGTAGAACAGAGATCTGGAATTTGGCTTTATTCAAAGTTTCCTCTGCAACTGTAGCCATGCTTCATATCAACAGCACAAAGGTTTTTCATATTCTGCATTTTTGTCCTCCACTGTACCTGAAACTGTGACCTAAAAGCAACAAAGAAAAATGTGTTTGAGTATTGAAAAATGTACTCAATCCAACAACTCCTGAATTTCTGTAGTTAGGTCATAAGCAAAGATGCTTTGATCAGAACCAGGGGTGAGGAACTGTTTTGGTGTAAGGGTGTTAGCGTTGTATTGGCTATGAAAGATGCTGTACTGAAGTTCCTTCTGTCAGTGGAGTTTGCTGACAGTGGGACCATGAAAGCAGCACCAAGCGCTGTGGTGGATCCTGCTGCTGCTTAAAAGAGCTGAGAGAACTGCACTGGCCAGAGCCATTAAGGTCAGCATAGTCAAAGCAATTTCCATAGCTACCGAGGTTTCCGACAAACCACTAGACTCAGACTGTATAACTTAAAAGTTTGCGAACTCACAAAGCTCCGACCCAGATACTCAATCTGCTCAAGCATTATAGTCTTGATGACCCTTCCGCTAGTAATAGATCATTGATGTCATTCTGTTTTCTGGTTTTATCAATTACTAGATCTTATTTAGGGAGTGTTGATTTTATTTAATTGTGTAGCAAAGAAATTAAAATTTTGGTCCTCAAATCAAGAGGGCAGATACTTAACATACACTAACATGTAAGTAAAACATGGCCTGGAGCAGTAACCTTGAAATCCCCCCTTGATCAGGGGGACGGAACACCTCTGCTATGAAGAAAGGCTGAGAGTTGGGGTTGTTCAGCCTAGAGAAGAGAAGGCTCCGGGGAGACCTTATTGCAGCCTGTCAGTACTTAAAGGGGGCTTATAAGAAAGATGGGGGCAAACTTTTTAGCAGGGCCTGTTGTGACAGGACAAGGGGGAATGGCTTTGAACTAAAGGGGGGTAGATTTAGACTAGAGATAAGGAAGAAATTGTTTATGCTGAAGGTGGTGAAACACTGGCCCAGGTTGCCCAGAGAGGTGGTGGATGCCCCATCCCTGGAAACATTCCAGGTCAGGTTGGACGGGGCTCTGAGCAACCTGATCTAGTTGAAGATGTCCCTGCCCATGGCAGGGGGGTTGGACTAGATGACCTTTAGAGGTCCCTTCCAACCCAAACTATTCTATGATTCTATAAATATGCAGACATGATGCTAATAAACTGTGTTTTCCTAATAACTGTTCTAAACAATTAGTATATCGTAGATAGTATGGCATAATCTCTACCATTTTCAGTGAGAATGTTTCTAAAAGCTGTTATTCAGACCTGAGCATTGAGCCCTCAGCAGCGCAGTACCAGTTACTGCATTCAGTGAGCAGTGCTAGTAACTGCTGATAAAACAAAATATTCATTGGCGGCCTCCTCTCGTTTCCTCAAGGATGCCTTCCCACAGGATGCCCGTATGCAGAGGTCTAGGTGGTTGTCAGCAAGAGCTCTGTGCGCCTGGACTGTGACCCTGGTAGTTATGCATCTTTGTAAAATACAAGGCTGCCACATACTAAACTTCTGAGATCAATAACCGTGTTTTTACCACCCTAGCACCAATGTAGTTATTTTCCAAATGCTCTAAAAACTGCGGTAGATGATGTCTGTCATTAGGTTATAAATTTTTCCAAAATCTGCTTTTCATAATCCACCTCCAGTAGTAATTTACTTTTCAACCCTCCGTGTTCTTCTGCAAACACGCAAAGCAACTAGAATGTTGGTTTATGCCGTTTGAATACAAATCCTGGGAGCAACGTCAAACATTGTTTTAGGACGTGCTGGCACCCCTGTGTCTCCTGGGTCATTCCCCATCTTTTGAAACATCGCATTTATAACTTTTCTTACTCTAGGAACATTTGATCACAGAATTCTTTTAAGCAACCTCTTTTATTCATCTCTTCTTCCAGCTGACATTAATTCGTTCAAGGATGTGCATTCCACCTTTTGGTTAATTTTGGAGATACAAATTAGAACCTTATGACAAACCTTGGTTCTTCTTTTTTTCATCTTCTTTCCCTGTAGTGCCCACTGTTTGCTAAGGCTTTTGTTTGCAGATGCCTTTGGATGTCTGCCAGAGTAGGAGCAACATACTGAGATACGTGGTGAAACCTCAGTTGGGAGAGTATCTGGATTTTTTTTTTGTGTTAATTTGTGTTACAAGACCCCCAGTTCTGACAGACTGCTTATAAATATTGTGTATTTTCAGCTGGCACTTCCTGAGATGTATCCATAGGAAATGTTTAATTGCCCGCAAAATATGGGTAGTAGGAGCTAGCGGATCTGTCGCTGAACTCGCCCCATCCTGCGTGCCACATACTGCTGATATTTTTTTTTTTTACTTTTTTTCCTCCCACATATTCACTCAATGAACAAGTTGCATAGCTGAGAGCTAGTCACAGTTCAGATTGGATTGAAACTCATAAATGTGCTACTCCACAGAAATCTTTAATAAAAGGCAAAACATTTATAGGATCTGAAGAGAAGCCCGTGCGGTCTGGGCATCTGCAGCACCAACATGTTACATCGGAGTATTTCATTATGTTAATGGGAAGACAGTTTGACCAGAAGCCTTCCACGGCACCAGAACCTTATTCTGGCAAAATTCTCTCACTCTCTTTTTTTTTTTTCAACAAGGATTGATTCTAGATGTGCTCATTGAATGCTAGATATCCTGCGATCAGAAGAAGATTGAACAATGGCTTGTTGGGCGATATCCATGGAATCAGGAATATACTTTCTGCAGTCTCAAAGGAGCTGGCCTCTCATTTCAATTTTGTTGCCTTCTAAATCACCTCTTTTCTTAGTCATCAGCCTCTCCCTTAGAACTCCCCAAATTTTGTCAAGTCCAAACTTGGACCAACAGCAGTGTGAACACTGAGGCATCATAATGTCCTCATTGTATAATCTGTACGTACAGCACACAAAATAGTCATAGTCTTCACAAAGACACTTTGCCGTAGGGTATTAGTGATGCATCAGACAAGGAACTGGCACTTCAGTTTCACTGGCAGTTAATGCAAGAAAAGACTTGATAACTGAGATGCTGAACTAGTATCCTTCGGAGTTTTTTAGACATCTACTCTATCTGCCTATCTGAAAAGTTGATTTGAAAGAAGAACTGTGAAATGCTAAAGAAAAGATATTTGAAATATTTTTTCTGCTGGAATTATGTTGCCTAGTATTATAAATTCTAGTCTTGATAAGCCAACTGAATTAAACCACCCACAGAAAAATGAATTTATTCCCATGTAAAAGACAAATATTATCCTTAACAGAAAAACATTTGTGCATTCTTAATTTTCTTGCATTATTATCTAAAGATTGCTTTCGGTTTAGCGTAAAGGAATTTCCACAGCAGCTCATAATCCATCTTAATTTCATTAATAGGAAGTTATGCTAAAATTCATTTCTCACTGAAAATTAAAAAAAGCCCTCACACGTCAGAGCATTGTTGGCTATTTGGTTAGCACCTGCAGCTAGTGAAGCGTCCTTGGATTATTTTATGTGGGGAATAGACTAATCTATGATGATGAATATCTAGTTGTTCTCGAGATCTTAGTGAATTGAATTTGCAACAAGACAAAAAAAGCCACGAACATTTGTACTCTTATGTACAGCGAGCAGGAAAACTATTGTATCTAGTTATTCCAGAGTACTTATCCTAACTTACTTATACCTTCATTACAGTATTCAGCTTTTAGACAGGATCTCTACGTTCCTCCAGAACCATAAAAACCTTTGCTCTTATATTCTGCGTACGTTTACCCTTTTTCTTGAAGTAATCTGAAAAAAATAAGAAAGCTGATACCAAACAGGATGTACTGACTATGTCAGCCGATGAAGCAAGGCATGTTTTTTATGTCAAACATATCTTTCTTTTGTTGCAGTGTTCATTTTTGCCTAAATTCTCCATTCATATAGAGACAAAATACGAGGACAACAAAGGAAGCAACGACACTGTAAGTATGACGGCTTTTGCAAAATTTTATTTCATCCTTTCATGTTCTGTAGCTGGGGGTTGTAGGTCCTTCAGTCCGGGAAAAAGGCCTAACCGGGCTCGTGTCTTTGCACCCGCCTGGGTATCCTCTTCACCAGCAGCCTGTCAGCTTGCAGAGTCGTTACCTCTGCGGCACTGTGAGAGGAAAGATCCGTGTACACAACTTCCCTTCTCCATCTGACGTTCTACTTGTTACTTCTCCGAACACATGATTTACCTATGTGAATTTAGTCCCGATGAACGTTTATGGAGAGTAAAGAAAAGATTACCCTTTTTTTGTTCGGTGTAGTTGTGTTCCACTTTATCTGTTTCAGAGTATTCTCTCTGAGTCAAGGGGGTGGAATTCAAAGGAGCTGTTAGGAAGAGCAAACAGGAAACTAAACAATGGTCAGAGATGAGAGATCTCAGTAAACAACTTCCAGGGAACAATGGCTGGACTACTGAGGTGATGCTTTTGGCAATCACTTACCAAAAGTTCCAAAGTTCTCAGAGCTTAGAGATGAAAAGGATAATTAACTCTGCAAAATCCTGGCTAGAGGAAGGGTGGGAGCGAGTAGCCAGCAGCTGCTGATGGGGAGATGCTCGGGAGTAGAAGGCAGGAGGTCAGTCAGACTTTGTTGCCCTGACGGGGAGCAAAGCAGAGTCATACAACTTGCAAGAAAAGAATAATGTTCGATAAAGCCCGGCATGTAAAGTTTCAACCCGTGGATGAATACACAAATATGTTTCGATACACTTCATTTCGGTGTGATTTAAACAGCAATTTGTTGCAGACTTATGGGAAGAAGTTTTGTACAGGTGTGAAATACAGGTTAAAATGTCTGGAAAATTGATCTGTAATACAGAGACCTAAGGGAGGAGCGTTTAAACTCATTCTTGAGAAAGAAGAAGGCAGTAAAGCAGATTTTAAGGGGTCTGAGACACAGAGCCTTTCAGTTTCCAGGGGTGTCCCTCTAGCAGCCTTACTAAGGCTGAAGTGTTCTGTTCTCCAGATGGGAGGTACATTTCCCTAACCGCCTTGGGCCTGCCTGTTAATAAGGCTGACAGCTGTTGCACTGCGTATGGCAGAATAATTACACGTAAAAGAAGAAGGTATAATTTTGAATAATGTTTTTGGCATACAGACACTTTCCCAGTGGGAACATGACAGAGATCATGTATTAGCCACCAGATACCAACAACTTTCAGTCACTGCTGGTCTAAGCCAGATCCAGATCAGTGAGAGAGGAAAGAAGGGAAGTGCACTACATTACCGACTATATGAGCATTATGTAATTTATGCACTTTTTTAATGTTCACTTCTGCTTTTTGGCAGCACTTTAATTCAGAGCAAGCCCACACCTCTGGTTTCGGGAGGGTGCAGGCTAGTTTTCTGGTACGTTACAATGAGAGCAGTGAGAAGACACGTTCTGTACCAATGCCTAACAGAGGAAGAACTGAAGCTACTTAATCAGTGAATTTTCAATTTTTCTCCCTGTGTCAGCTTTGTGGCTAAAATACTATGAATCAAGCCCGGAATAGTACCCAACCAGTGAATTTAAGATGAAAGTAACACAGAGGTAGGATACTCAGATGATGTAAATCAAAGAATCTCTACTCTGCTTGAATCCAGCTCTTCAAATGTAATTTTTACCAGAGTGCCAGTGGGGTGGTAATATATTACCTTTATACTGAGGTACCCGAGTCACAGACTGGGTAAGTATTTACCAAGATTAACAGGTTTAATTGACCCTTACTTGAATTGAGGAGGAGAAGCTGAATTCGAGGGCTGCATTCCAGCCCTAATTTCCATGACTTTGTAATTCAGAGGGCTATGCTATTCGCTAGTGTGAACACAATAAATCAGTGGAAGATATGCATTTTTTTGCTGTTGATCCAGTGACATTGATCTGGTGACAGAGATGTGTCTGGTACAGCACTGAAATGCTGGAAGGTTAGTAAATACGGAGAGAGCTCACTGAGCCTGTGGAGAGACTTCTGTTAAACCAAACACCTCAGAACTAGGACTAAGAGTTGAACTTGCTTCTATTACTCAACAGGTAGGCTTAAACATCACTTAAGAAAATGTGAAGTGTATCTCTCCTTTGTATCAGACAAGTTTAGATTAAATTTTGCTACATTTGCCCAGTCAGAAAACAACAGAAAACAGCATCCATTTCTATAGATTTCTGTAGGTACACTATATCTTTCTTCATTGCAATTATCAACCTTGGCTGATGAAGAAATAATTAATCCAAAAAATACTTCTGTAAATTTTGCAGTCGTAACACAAAATATATTGAATGAATACTAATATTACAGTGATGAGGGTAATAATGCATGTCTGATTTTAACTCAGCTATGTCTAGATATATTTTTTGAGACCATACAGGTTTTTTGAAATCTTTGAACTCCGATCTATTCTTCATTTCCATGCTATCTAATAAAGTAGACGTTGATTGTAAAAAGCAATAATTAGATATTAGGATACTAAAGCTAATTCCATTGATTAGTGGAAGAAAGCAATATAAATGCTCTCAGGTTCCTGTTGTCATTTAGCAGGCTAGTATATTATTAGAATTATTTTATTTAACATGTTGCATTGCCTGGTAAAATTCCACCTAATTACCGCACTATATCTTGATGCAAAAGTCGTCCTGATTTGTCTTTCCAATTGTCATGATAGAAGAAACTAGTGAAAGATAACGGTATCTGTTTTGGAACTTGACTTTTCTATGTCTAAGACATGTCTAAGACTCTGTCATCATTTTAACGTATTTTAAATGTGCTTAAAGCACTATATCACTTAGTTTCTGATTTTTCCGAGTTATTTATTACTTTTAATATTGTATTTTTCCTTGCATTTTGTTGTAAATAAACTACCAACAATTATTCTTTACAATTGTGGCTATTTTCTTTTACCAGGTCTCCTCTAGCAAGGAACATATCCATTAACATTTCTGCCCCCAGCTCTGCAAGTCACTTCCTCAAAATTAAAAAGCACAAAGAATTGGCTTTGTAAGGAAAACTTAAACCACTTACAACATCTACTAGGTTTTGTTCTGCCTCAGCTTTTCAAGGATTTGATCAGGGCAGGTGCCCGTCAGTCTGGTGTTGGCCCATGCTTAAAGCACGGTTGTCCCATCTGTTGAAGTTTGCACTGGATTTGCACAAATACAAACATTGCCAGAAAGAACAATGGACAATAAACCCCTTTATTTAGATAAAACACTAATGAAGCTTGTGTAGATGGCAGTAGTGCAGTGCCATAAATCCATCCAGTTGTGATTTCTAGTGCTACAGCGCAGCTGATTTTGCTGTATTGCATCTAGATGTTCGCATGGCAACTCTCTTCTTAGAAAAACAGAGTCAGTGTTGGGTGAACGTGTTAGTACATCAAATATTGTCACTGCTACCTTGCAGCTTTATAGCTTCGCTAATACTGTGAGAAACTAGACCCATGAGTCTGGCCGTTCAGTCTTTCCTCTTACGGGTCTTTTAAAAAGTAAACTTCTTAGTTTAAAGAGAAATGTTATTTTTATTTTACTTTTATTTTAAATTACGACATGTAAATGACACTGTAGGTGGTATCTGTAGAGCACGTGAAAATACTGCTTCCCTACTGCATCTTCAGCTGCTTACATAAGTCAAGGTTGCAGTGGGAACTGCGGGGAAGAGGGAGGTGCAGGTGCCTGCAACAGGCAGCTTCAGTGAACACAGACAAGCTATCAAAGTGCATGATAATCGCTCAGCGCACGCTTTTTTCCCCGTAAGAAAAATGAGCAATTAGGGAATTTGAATACGGATCCACAAAGTCTGTATTTTCAATATTAAAACCGTAAGTTAAATACAAGAGAATTCTTAAGGTTATCTAATGAATGAAACGGTCAGGAATCACAGGCAGGGGTGGTGTAAGTTACTGCTTGTTTGTGAATGAATGACTAGTCTGTGGTTTTCATGGACAGACTTTGTTAACCTTTTTCTATTTGGGCAGATACTGTTTTCTTTTAACAGTCTATTGATTGGTCAGTATTTATGTCACATAAGGCTAATTTTATTCTAAAGGGTGTATTGCTCTCCCTTTTCTCCCATCTCTATTCTTACTATTTCAGTGTACACTGCAGACATACATTTTGTTTATTTTTAATTTTAGTGGGGAACGCACCAACTTAGGCTTTCTGTTGATTACAAAGGATCCACCGCATGGCTCTAATAGCTGCTGTAATCAATGCACGATGATCTCGCGCACTGCAGCACCCTGTCTGTTCTTGCATGTCACAGTCTAGTCCTGGTGAAAATTTCTAAAAAGCCATCTGTAGCCGAAGGTAGAGCAGGGGCGAAGTGAGGGCAGACGCTGTTCAAGCAAAGCACTGAGTCACGGAGACATTTCAGTTTTCCTGTTTGTTGCAGAAGGATCGTTATGTTTGACTGGGTTTTGTTGGTTTGGTTTGGTTTTTTAGTCACAGAATTAATGTCTGCTGATACTTGGGCAGTGAATTTTTACCATCTGATAGTGTCTGGGGAAAGTAAAAAAGCACAGCTTGTAAAAATAACCCAAGAGTTGTCAATAATGGAAATTCACTGTATGTAAAACTTCACGGTGCCTTGCTCTTTGTAGCGTAACATTTTGCTCTGGAAAACTCAATGGCTGGCTCTTGATTATTAAAGAATAACATGCAAGATCTTAAAATAGCGTAGTCTGTCTTTTTGTTAAGGGGCCGTGATATTTATTAGCAAGAATAACATTATTCTTAAGACTAGTGAAGGTGTGGAGTAAAGATTTTGAGGTAGAGTTATATTTCAGGATGACAAAGTATGGGTATCATTGGGAACGTTTTTGTGAGTATATGTCTCAGTAATAGTGATAAAGTCATCCGAGCTACAGCACTAATTCTTTGTCAATCAAGAGAAAAATATATTATCAATGTGTTTCTTGCCTTTCAAAGATAATAATGTTGAAAATGCGCATCTCGGAATGGCCAT